TCAGGTCCATGGGATAAGTGACGTAAACTGAAACTATAGAGAAAAGTAAATTCCTTGATTGAAAGCTTCGCGTGAACTTCGGTTCCACTGACTTATGTCAATCAGAAGCGTCATGAGACCACCGCTCAACGCAGTGAGTAAATACCCAGCTTTTGAGAAGTTAGAACTTTGAGTCCAAGAGATTTGCCAAATTTAAGCTGACCTACTGAACACACAAAATTTGCCGGATTATTTTCAATACGAATGAGGGCATCCAAGTCTCCATGGACCAAAGTTTTCTGCAAATGTACTTATGAAGCTAGATACTACGTGAAACCGTTTTGTGGACTCAGTTTACTGCTCAGCCCTCGCAGAAGCGCATAGGTACTCGATGAAGTAATCCACATTTATCCGGAAAAATACAATAAATCAGCAATGTGCTCAGATTAGTGAGAAAACCTTGGGCAAATGTTCAGCCACTGAACAAGTTGATCAAATTTGCCGATGACACACTGGTTAGCAAATACTTTGCTCCGCAGACTTATCATATTTTTGGAGGTTAGTTTTTCACACTATCACCATACATGTGTAAGGCAAAGTTCGATTTACAGGAGGTGCACAGTATAAATTTCCAGGCGGATGGAGCTTCAAGTATGCCTGGATATGATGAGGCGTTGTTCGCTCCTTATTGCGTTGGTGTTCTGCATCGACCATGTTGCATGTTTGGAAGCCCCGGGTGTCCAAAATTTGTCATCGATATTTAACAACAAGCCGTCAAAGAACTGGGTTGTCCTTGTCGCTGGTTCTGACGACTGGATAAATTATCGGCATCAAGTAGGTTTCAGTTGATGTTTATTGTTTTGATTTTCAATTGATTTCTATAGTCTACACAAAATGTTTTTCGAAGAGGCAATTTGCACTAATGGTATCCCAAACAGTTGTGATCTACCTAGTTATTTATATAACTGTGATGTTTCACTGAGAAAGGCGGTTGATCAAATCCGCAACTAATGGATACTTATTTCTGCGCCTTTGTTTGTTTTCTAAAGCATTTCTCTGTTGCGCTGTAATTTCGCTTTCTGTCTTCGAATTCCTACGGAAAGTGACATGGTGTAGACGCAGGCAACATTTTTGTCATAACGGATACAATCATGACACATTCACTCACTTTGGTCCTCGTCAGATCAACTCAGCTTTTGTCGGTTTATTTTTTCCGCCCAGAAAAAGCAAACCAGATAGACAAACATCGAAAATTATTTCACCGTGAGCGATTTCTATTTAGGAACAGCTGCTTCATAACATTCAACTGATTATTTCTTCAGAGGTTCCACGTTCAGTATCATCACTCTAGTTGAGACGTTGCAGTTAATCGGTTGATTACTTGTTGGAATTTTTTAATCTAATACCTGGACATGTATACTAGTGATCTCTTGGCTCACAGAGGGCCTCTTTTGGTCTGTTGGGTGTATTCGTTGGTCCTTGCTTCCTCCACCTCCTTCAAACACAAAGAATCTCAACGCATGCCGGTCTTGTTTTCTTACCTCAAGTTTCACTGCTCGTTGTGTGATATTTTGCTCGCTACCTGAAAGAAAACGTATCCGAGTTTCGAAAACATTTAGAGGGTTGGCCGAGATCCAGTACTTGCATCTAGTTTGTTGTACCGTTTTACAAGCGTGGTATTCGGAATCCCGAAGACGCCACTTTCAGGTAGCAATTAACAGCGGAAGTCATTTTGTCCGGGAGAGACGTCAATATTCGTTCTGGTGGGCTTCTATACCCTTAGGTTTCAAAGGCTTCTCACTTGTCAGCTGAGATGTGCAGCTGAGTTGTCCAGCAATAGTGCCTCAAAAGTCATGGATATCACTAACCTAGGGTTGATGAGAGTGAGAATACCGGATACATGAAAGAGAAAAAAGGAATGAAGGATTTAGTTGTAGTATTCTTCGCATACTCACCCTGTTGTATACGGCAGACAAAGCAACCGGGTTGACGAAAACAATCGCAGCCGGTGTGACATGAGATCACTTGTAAGCGTGCAATCCATACTTGAAATTAGCCTGTGATATGACCAGTTTAAGGAGCAATGCTCTTCAACGAGAAATTCTTTATTCGCAAACAGCAAACAAGCAGATGCAAACTGCTGAACAGAAAAGTAAACGTTTCTAAAACCGAAAATTATCAAGAATCTTAAGAGAATGAAAACAACGCTATTGTTAACGAACACCGTAAAGCATTTCCACATGTTCCGTAATAAAATTCACCTTGCATTCGAGGCGGAGCAGAATTTGGAGGAGACCACAGACTACTCGCACATCTAGTCAGTAGTATCCGCCGTTACGATAAGAAATATCATTTTAGTGTCTCTGATTATGGCCTTCATCCCAAGAGCCTAGTTGCACTACTGGTTTCTCAGATTGGTGGTGGATTGTGCGGACAGTCAGAGGAGAAATTTCAACCCCCACCATGGATGATTTCCACTCAATGACTGTCCTGTTATTAAAGGCTGTATGAGTATCGGATATACACTGCTCAGTGTGCTGCTGAGGGCCACAAACCGTCAGGCCCCTATGAGGTTCAACCTCTCTTTGACACTAAAAGATACACTGTTTTCATTCCTAGTGACACGATTGACAACAGGCGAACTGGGACATCCCTCGATGTTCTTTCAGGAGTTCGTTTGATCTGGAAGGTTTGTGCATGAAAATCATCCAAGAGCGAGGGTGCTATCCGTGGTCAGTGGGATGATCGTAGTTCAAGGACAGAGCCACAGTTGGTCAAGAAACGACCAAACTCCGTCAAAAATTCAACGAGTCATCAGGTGCCAGATCCATTCGAGCAAAACTCCACGAAGGATCAGCCCAGGCGTAGAGCTATATTCAGACGAGTATCAGTAAATAAGGAACCCTCCTCATCCATCCCTAAACCAACTTGCCATACGCATAATGATTTGAAGAAGTCCTTAAGACTGTAGTATCGATCGATGGTGGTCAGGCTCAAGGATGTCAAGAAATCCGGTGCAACATCTCATGATCAACTGTTTCATTTTTATGATAAAACATATTGGTGTGATGATAAATTTCGTTTGATTTTTTAGCTCAAAGGGCAGTCTTTCTTGATGACATTGGATCATGATGGAGATTAACGACTGCGAAAAATATCCAGCCATTGATGTGCAACACTTTCAAACATTTGAGATATTCGCCTCCAGAATTATCAGCATCGTACTTCCGGGATACATTCTGGCACTAATCTAAACCCCTTTAATACAAAGTTAACGTAATTCATTTGATATCCACAATGGTATATGAAAAACAGTTTTGACGGCTTATCTCGAACGTATTTTGTGAGGGCTGGTGTGCAGGCCATGGAGGAAACCTGGCTAATGTGATGTGTCCGAAGAAACTCATAAACGCAATGCAGCGAAACATTGTTAACAATACGTTAGACTACCAAATATATGAGGTGTCCCTGGAGGAATCCCCAACAAACCGCGTTCCCAAGTGGGGTGCGGCACGAGGTAATCAGCTGTTCTGGGGCAATCGGCTAAGCCTCTTATTGGTTGCCGGGAAGTAGCGCGTTCAGGGATCTCCAGCGAAACATGACTTGTGCTCTGTAGTTCAACTGCATAGTGCAACAAGACGTTTTGATAGGGCTTTGCCTCAGATAAAGGATGAAATCGCGATTGAAGATCCCAAACGATGAATTGTAGCCAAATACCTGGCAATTTAGCTGCCGTGCCCAACGTCAAGCAATTAATTAACAACAACAGACGTGATTACGTTACATCTACATTGATGGGCAGGCACAATGCATCCGAGTGCTTTTGAAAGAACTGATACTCCACCACGTATGCATGATTTCAGTCATTCTGCTTACCTCCGTCAGTCCCATGTGCCATACTCCTCCTGTTATCTCTTACTCACCTGTCATTTGTATTTCCCTTCAGGCGAACGTTTTTCACGCCTATCACGTCATGCGTGCAAACAAAATTCCAGCGGAGAATATAATTACCTTCGCCTACGATGATATTGCAAACAATCCCAAGTGAATATCATATACAATGTTTTCCATCTGATAGTAATTATACTGTGGAAATCGCTTTTCTCCATTTGGCCTTCCATTGGTTCATTTCTAAGCCGTGGATTCCACGGATATAAATCATGAATGGAATCGGGTTGGAGACAAATATGTGTGTTTTTGCGTCACTCAAGATGCACCATAAAGCTTCCCCCTTTCACGACATTTCCCCACGCCAAACGCTAAATAACCTTGGTACGATCAACACATTTGATACCAGATCAAAGTTCAATCGTTGTTGTAATTTTTCACTGATGATAACAAATTTCACTTTCTTTCGATCGTCGAAAGTCTGAAATTAATTACACTGATATGTAGACGTTGTCCGATTACATTAGCCGACTGGTGATTTGGAACAAGTACTAAGCGGACAACCTATTAGGCATAACGTTTTGTAATACAGATGATTGCTGAGACTCGTGGCAGAAAGCCTCGAGTTCGTGATAATTGTAAGCCGTTAGCTGCCCAATGAAATTACATTCAAGGGCACAGGCTGTACGTTTTCTTACGAATTTGTAATGTTCTCTGTTGTCTACCTACCGTGATCATTGTGGGGTCTATAAAACTTAATCGAAATTGTTACAAAATGTGTAATCATCGGCGTACAAATTCATTCAAAAACACGATCGAAACCCGAATTCAAACGGAAGTTACGAGCATTTCATTTCCTTCTATTTGACGTTGATGTTAATTTCCTCTCACAAAAAACTCATTGCCATTATTCATTCTTTCAATCCAGGAATCCGTACAAAGGCCAAGTGTTCAATGACTACGAGCACGAGGATGTCTACAAAGGTGTGGTTATTGACTACCGTGGACAAGTATGTCCATGCTCAGCAAATAAATGAATTTGTTCTTTGTTTAATGCAAAGTGCAAGGTACATGACACTGCGTGAAAAACAGTAGTATCTCTCGAGCAGATTACTCAGATACGGAGCGTTTTTCACGGAGTGTATGCGTTGACTAACTTTCGGAAATTTTGGTGCCTTCTGGATTCGCCATTGGCAAACAGCATTCGTTGGACACTGAATCGGGATTGGCTATTGGCTCCAATCAGAGTTCTGCTCGACAACCTGCCGGATCCAACTTCCATGCTCGGCAGACTTACAAACAACCAACTTTTAAGATTTCATCATTCAGCGACCGTCGCGAAAGTAATCTGAGTGAAGATAGAGAGCCGATCCTAGATTTATCTTGATTGGCTAGACTGTAAATCGATGTTTACTGCAAGGAGAATGAGTGTGGAGCATTGTGGCATGGCACAAATAAATGATAATGCGTGTTTCTCTGTTCCAGGACGTCAACCCGGATATATTCGCGAAAGTACTGAAAGGCGACAAGAAACTCGAAAAAGAAGGGAAGAAGATTTTGAAAAGGTGAGTTTGCTTGGAAGTAGAGGTTGTTGATGTACTTGCTGATCACAGTGAGGATTCTGGTGTTGCATGTCGGAGGTTTCGGAAATGCGTAAAGCGTGTTTAGTATTCTCGTATGTTATGTGGTACATACATTTTTCACGTAAAGCTCCCAGAAGGCAGTTGAAATGATTCGCTTCGCTAGAAGAGAAAACCGGTTTATCAATTCCAGAATATGGGCTATCATTATATCATAGGTATCAATCACCACTGTTAACATGTTTCGAGAATATTCATACATGCGCAGTTATCAATGGTCGGATATCTACACGGTCTTGTAAAACTTGTAGTCTGTCGATCTTGATTTGTTCGGTATCTGAAGTTTTTTAACTCACCGTGTTATCCCAAGCGTGAATAATGGGTAATGGAAATCCAAGTTCACTTGCAGTCGTGTAGATTGGGTGAATAGCAGTCCCTCAGATCCGTATGGTCATTCACCGTTAACACTCTCAGCTTTTGGAATACCTGCCTCGACCAGTGTTCCATATGGATTTGTACCGTCACATTTCAACTTTGGAAAAGCTTCCCAAGGCTACTGGACCCGCATATGACGAGAAATGATGGGACTTCTTACGGTTTGAAGCCATGATACCAGAAAAATGCGTATTCACTTGCAAATCACAAATCTCTCATTCGTGAGTCATAAAACTCTTTGGAATCGGAGTTACCGCTCAATCCCTAATCACCCGCTCTTTATATCCGATCCTGCGCATAGTTTGTTCATATAGGGAAAGAAAGACAAAGATAGACATGTAATTGATAGGAACATGAGCACATGGTCCTCAGAGAGAAAATACTCGACTTCAAGTAATGCAGATCATATGCAGCAACTACATTTTCGGACAGAATATGTCGTTGGGCATATTCTAGGAATACAGCGGTCTGATGAGCACTCTCCCAAACAACGCATACTTTCAGACAGATATGGAAGAACTTTCGACCAAATCATTCAATCATGCTGTCACTTCGGTTGGTGACAGAACCTTTGCAAAATGATCACCGGGATCAGAGAACATATGAGCATCCCGTTGTTCGACGACCAACAAATGGATCATATGGCTTTGTGGATATGCTTCGTTATATTATTGATCTCAGTAGTGAATACACGGAGTTAACTATACTGCGTGATTTCGTAAGAGCTGGTTGCCACCGTTCCAATCGCCAGCTGGCAAAATTAGCCTCCAGAAGCGTGTACAAAACAATATTCTGACATGCGTGTTCGTTATCCACCCACTTCATTCGAGTTTGGTGGTTAACGAATACGTCGCATAGGAATTGTGTGGAATAATGACCCAAAGTTGAACATATTTCTTTTACACAACATAGTCGTGTACCGTGGAGAAAAATGAACTGAGAAACTTCGTGCATCTTCTGATTTCCTTGACAACCAGTTAGCCAAGGCCGTTGATGTTAAAAATTGGCTTCTACACCTTTTGACAAAACCCATATTTTTGGGGTATATTACCATCGAATTTCCATTTCCACGACTTTTTGTTGTGCTATCCTATGCGTGAGAGCGCCACTTAATAAACTGCTCTCCAAGACCACGTCAAGATTCCCGTTCCCTTGCAGCGGTCCTGATGACAACGTTTTCATCTATTACACTGGCCATGGTGCGTCTCAAGCTATTTCCTTCCCATCTGGATATGTAAGTTTTGTGAATTTTGGTAACCACGGTTAAAGCACCCAGCTTTTCAAAAAGAGACTAAATTGTGAACGGAGCAGAGAGCCGCACCGCAACCCATGGTTCCTTATGAAACAGAGTTTACAGATACAGCGGTCCTTGTTAATGTGTTATGTTGATAACATTACATAGATTTCCTTTTACTATGTTCAACTCAGTTGATTTCGCGTTTTATCCATTTAGACACTTGAGCAAGCGTACATGGTCACTCATGAGGTGTAGACGGTACGAAGACAAAAAAGGCTATTTTTGTTATTCCTTGACATACAGCGATACTTTGGTAATATGAATGTACACTGTGTGTGAGTCTAAAGTCTGTGTTGAAAAATCGAGAAGCAATGTACGCGTGTTATATCCTTATTGGGAATTATCACTCTGCGCTTTGTAGCTGCAATGTTCCACCGTTCGACCACGGGTGGCCAAAAAGCACTTTATCAGAATATAATTCCGCTCATCCTTCAGTCAAGGGAACCACATCACTGGTGGCTTTCCCTTCGAGTGACAACTCACCAATGAATTATTATTAATTCCGTCCTATTAACATTGTGTTATTAATGAGATGACATTTGAAATTTTCAATTCAGTGGAAATCACATGAAATTTTCGTAAAACATGTCTAGATCAAGGATCCGCTCCACGGATTGCTTGAATTACGGGGCGGCCTTGCAATCTACGACTAGCATTACAAGCTGCAATCCCTTGTATTAAGGCAGCATTCACCCTAATAGGGACTCTTTGTCCTGAGCGTCACTCTTACTATGCAACCAAACATATTCAAGTCCACCACGATGAATGAGGTGTGGAAATGATTAGAACCGGCCGTGAAGTTGACACCTAGAGTGGTATGAAAATCACTCGTTCAAACCGGAAGCTCATTATGATGAACTTGTGACTGCACGCCTATTTACTCCAACGTTGTTCCTTGCGTGCCCTTACAAAATAAGTTTACTGAATGTCCCTAGGATAGCTGACTAACATCACATTGGATATGGTGGCAGTGATATTCTAAAAATCAAAGACAATAACTGGGGTAATCAGCGTCAACCTTAGGGGATCAAACGTAGTCCTTCAACTGATCATTGTGGACAGGATTTTCAAGAATGCAACACTCGTTCAGCTGTAAACGTTCGAGCTCATGCAAACTTTATTTCTTGCATTGCTTCAGCTCCATGCCGTGGAATTGAACGATATCCTCGGCAGCATGTATTTAAACAAAAGGTACAACAAACTGGTGCTTTACGTGGATTCTTGCTCCGCTGGTTCTCTGTTTCGTGATCTTCTTCCTTCAGATGTGGGAAGTAAGTAGCGTGAGTTAGCCTGTCTCTCGTAGAACTAACATTCAGAATTTTCCTCACATATGGCTAAAGCACCGCAAAGGCCAGAACAACAAACGAAATTCCAAGCATGTGTCGTGCTTATTCGCTTATGATACTTGAATGCAGGTATTCCCTGTCCATCTGCCAGAAGCCTTAACCTAATCGTGAATAACATCACACCTTCATCGAGCAACGTCAGCTCTGCTGCTGAACTAGTTTCAGCGGGTTAGAAGAAGTCACTGTAATATCGGTGCAACACCTGTGATATTTGGGTTCCATTTGCAGCAACCACCGTTCGCAGGTCAATACCGTACTTGTAAATTGTGAATGAATCGTGAGTCGTTTATAAAATGTACACTTCCGCGGATCAAACAACAGGTATAATACCAGTGACCTGAATAACTTTGACCGTCATGGCCGTCAGTGATCTCTTCACACGAGAGTTTTACCAGAGAAAATCACATTATATATCTACACACTGATGAGACTTGGAAGGCCTGAACCAACCGCGGTTAGCCAGATCCGTCCAATCTGATTTTCAGAGGTGATTGAGGGGAATTCAAGGAATGTGCCCTTCTGATTGGACGGAAGAAGCGCGAAAACCATTGTGTTTTGTCAAAGATTTTTCAGGGACCTTATGATTATTGTGTTAGTTTTCGAACTCTTGGGGCTTCCCATTATCAGTTCGTCGACAAAGTAACGCGTTATTTCTAAGTTATTTTACATGGTCCATTCATTTTCTTGGCTGAACCCCTCAAAACTGCAGTCTTCGTGACAACCTCAGCGAATGAAGATGAACAAAGCTGGTCTTCTTTTTGTAATGACAAGCGAATCGGTGTTTGTTTAGCGACGGAATATTCGTATGGATGGATTACGGATTCGGAATACGTGAGTTTCATCAAACCTGTTGCAGATGAACTTGTGAGTTGTGGAAAGATAGTTCTATGGTAGGTAGCTGACAATGGTCGTCCATTTGATTCTGTTAACCACTTTTTTTTGTTTCTAATAAGTAGACCATACTTTCTCAGTTAGTGTAAAACTTTGGGTGACGTTGGTGGCTTGTATCTTTGGAGGCCGACTGATTCGCACAGTCATCGTTTAAAGACGCTGCATATTACGCCCTTGCATCAAAGTTAGTGGAGCCTTTTGGTCGTCATTTTCAATTCAGATCCCCTGAATAAGTGAGTGGGGTTCCTGGCACACAGGAGTGATTGTGGTAGGCCAGCAATAACTCTTTTTTTCTCACCCACTTTGATTGTTTTTTGCAATATGACTTCAAATGAATTTGGAATGCACGCAGGGAATCGTTGGTGTTGTACATGGTTGCAGACAATAATGATGACGATGATACAGATGATGGCGATGGTGATGATAGTGATGACGATGATTGCCCTCGGGCGTCGAATTCTCAACGTGCATATAGGGATAGTTCCCTGGCACAGCGAAGTTCTCTGTAATTCATTGGTAGTATGTCCAAATCAATACTTTGGTTGTCTCACCTCTCGTGATGCTTTACTAGCCGATTAGTCTGAGCCGTGTTACGCGCGCAGAATATTCTGCACGCAGACGGGAATTGAGAAAATGTCACTCTAGCAACAGAACCAGGGTCGAACACTGATGATTCGCCAAAGAGGATACTGATGATCATGATGATGACGATGAACGCTTTCGTCTCAACGAGTCTGTCGGAATGAAGTACAAAACACAGCGTGCATCATATTTGGGTGTATTCGGGGGTCATGTTGCGCCATTTGGGTCTTCATGTACTCTCGCTTACCCTGCCGAATAATGAATCAGTAGCAGTTAAATATTGACCTGGCAGACGATAGACCCCTCCAAGAATTTCATCCAAAACTGCAAGACAAGTTGGCTGGGCAATGTGTTGTGCATGCCCAAAAGCTGGCCGCCAAGCGGGATGTCGTAATCCATGCCCAGTCCGGATTGTCATAAACCAACAGGTAGACAGAACTTGGCATGGCAGCAGTGAATTTAGGACTCTAGGAAAAAGTTGTGTTATATGTGTACGTCGTCCTGGAACAGTTGGGTGATCACTGGCTTATCAGCAGTATGTGTCGTTCCATATCTCTGTTGTCTTACCTCTAGCGGATTCACTTGTTTTGATTACATTGGATCAATCTTAAAGTTGCGTAAGCTGATCTGTTTGCTGTACTTGGCTTCGCTATATCATTATTATTCACCCACACGCAGAAAGACTTGAAAAAGCGCACACTGGATCAACAGTACGAGGAGGTGAAAAAGAGAACAAAAAAAAGTCACGTGATGAAATACGGTGAGATGGTGAGTCACAAACTGTCACGGAGAGATTCAGTTGAGTCACTTGTGAAATACCAAACCGTTATGAAAATGAGTGTGTTTGTCGAGATGAGAGTTGCATGTCGTTACTTTGGAAGTGTGACGGTCAAGTCAAATATAGCTGATTAAATACCTCATGTTCCATAGACGAATTTCTGCAAGTCAGCCAGTCTAGATATTTAGATATGCAATCCTGGTCAGTGTCATTTTTGGATAGCCAAGCAATGGCTTTGGATACCTTGTGCTCTGTACCCTTCTGTGCTATGGTACAAAAGGAAACCAAATCTGCATAAAACCTCCTCAAGTAACCTAGGGAAAGAAGAGATTGAAACGACGACTAAAATTCTCATATGAGAACTTATCATGTGGCCATGGTGGTGGTGTGGTGGTGGCCATGTGGTGTGGCTTGCCGTGATTGAACGATTAGTGATGTGACGCTGGGTTCTGTCTAAGGAAAGGCCATTCACACTGCTGATCAATCCGTTATGATTGAACAGTCGAGCATTCAACCGTTGGCCAGAAGGTCGGCGGTTTCTCGTTTCATGTTGCAGTGAGATGTGCACTGCTTCTGACTCCCAATAAAAAGAAAAAATCCATACGATGCTTCTCGCTTCTCAGCACAGACTGGTCTCAGGGAAAGGATAAAATATCCAATTGAATGAGAAAGTTCGATCGATATAAGCACGTCATTTACTCATTTTGATGCGATTCAAGTTTAAACTATACAATATGATGACGTCTTTAGCTCACTATTTGGCTGAGTTAAACGATTCAGTCAAGTTGCTTGTCAACTTTAAACGCACTTTGTTTACCCATCAGTCGTGAACGAACTATTTGTACTTCCTACCGAATAGTTTGTGTGTTTACAAGACTTGTTCGGATAAAAAACAATGATGTTATGCTTTCCTTCATTTTGTTGTCCCAAGATGCCGGAAAGCATGGTTTGAACATTTAATTAACTTATGCAAGTTTTAGTAGCTGACAAGCACCAGAATTAAGGGAGCTCACTACTTCCTCAACTGGCGAGTATTAACATGCGCCCATTCGGAATTTACTCCAGCCAATCGGATACTGCTCATCGGTCCGCACCGCAAATATTTGGGTAGTGTACAACTGAATGTATTCATGATCTTGAACGAAGGAACTTAAATGAACATAAGGGTAATTCGGTGATTATCATTGATGTACACTAGTGTTTGATACACAATTTTCGGAAGAGATATTTATTGATCAGTCGGATCCTTCACCACTGGCAGGTGGTACTTAGTGGAAAACTACGAACGTATGATAGACCTCTTTCTCTTTGTATGGAGAAGGAAGCTGCCTGAATTGACAATACACTGATGAGCGTCTGTATGTTGTTCATTTCAGACGATGGGAAGTCTCCCAGTTGGAAAGTTTCAAGGTCATTATGATCTACTGCTGCGCCGGAATAGTGGGGCAATAGCAGTATGTGTTCAGCGCAGTTTTCGATATTTTGTCTCCTATTGAAACAGTCAGTACTTATGCAGTTATATATATGTATGTATATATGTATATATATATATATATATTTCAGGAACCCAAAGACCACTTCACAGTCCAATACCATTCTAAAAATTTGGGCCGCTGTAAAATCATTTGTGTCAATCACTTCAGCGACAGAAACGCTTTCTAACATCCGAGTGGATATCGCCACAGGCTCTCCTATAAGCGAAGGCA